GGTGAAAATTGAACGAACCGTTGCCCGAGTTTGGGAGATTGCGTCATGCACTTGCAGACTCCACTTACACGGGGAAGCAAGGACCTCAAAGCGAGGTGGGAGAGTGGTGTGCTTCTGGGAAAACATGAAGCCAGTCAAAGAGCTTGTCATGGGCGCAGTCTAGACTCGCGAGCTCAGGCACACGGGGGCGACGATGATAAGTGGAACTGAAATGAGGTTAGCAAAATGAAGCGATTACACTGGCAACCAGGCCCGAACGCGCGTGGCGTGGAATTTTTCGGCCAGCCTGACCTCGCCGATGGCGGTGGCCCAGTCAAGGCGTAGCTGCAGACACCCAGCACTTAGTAGCATCAGGGTTTGCAGTGAAGAAGCTGGAGTCCGTGGCCATGGGGCCCTACGCTGGGACGTTCTGGGTGCATGGCCATAGCCCGAGGAGATGCAGCCTGGGGGCGTCGCTGTGCAGAGTGCCGAGAGCGTGTTGTCGAGTGTCTCAGGGCAGCGCGACCCGTGCATCCAAGAGAGATTCGCAGCCCCCCAGATGAGGATGGATCCCAGGTGTTTCCAGGAGGACGTGGACAGGAATGATCCATTGGTAGACGGCTGGTTCCAGGGCTGGGTGAGTCAGTCGACAGCGCCGCGAAACCAGAAGCAAAGTGCATGCGCCTAGAGACATGAGAGTAGAGCGCTACATTGATGGCGCAATAAGAGAGGAGCACGTGCGATTATTGATCGGGAAACTGGCGAAATGGAAGTTACCGCCGACGATGGGCAACTTTAAGATGGGAGGGGGTTGCCAGGGTTTCTGACGTGCCTGACTGGGTCCCGCGTTGCTTCGGCAGGTGGCGATGAGCGATGGGCTGACGCCGCCCCGCCGGGATCAGCATCAGTGAGCAAGGCAGGGGGCTCTGGAGGCGATCAGAGGACCAGGGAAGTTCGAGAGGAAGAAGCTGAAGGCGAGGACATGCATCAGGGGGTTCAAGAAGTCGGAGGTGGCGAGAATCCCGACACTGAGAACATGGAAGAAACTCAACCCGACCAAGAGAGTGAAGAACAGGGCGCGTAGAACATTGACGATTGTCTCATCGGGTTAAACATGATGCGCTTTGATGAGGACGTCTCAGTCGACATGTGATGGAGAACCGGGGAATCGCAAGGCCGCGCGGCAAGTGCTAGCATGACGCGCAGGCGCGCGTTACTGAGACACTTTCGCTGGTCCGAGTTATTGGCGCGGCGAAACAGATGGGGCGCGGGCCGAAGTACTTGCGATGATCATGGGGGGCCATGGCGCTTCATCTGCGACGCGATGCGAGGAGGGGCAATGCGCGCCAGCAAGAACAAAGGATCCATCTTGCGAATCTCGAGTTCCATGCGCGCAGCCGGCAGCAGGCTAATGGCTCTCAATGCAATGGGACTCCGGCCGGATCTAACGACGGGCATGCTTGGCAACGCGGTTGAACATCTCGCGCTGGGGCACTTTCAGACTCGAAGAAATAATGGGTGATGCTGTCTCTTCGGACACCCTGCGCGGGCCTCAAGTTGGGCAGCGCCGCCGTCGCAGGGGGCGTTGAAGCGCGACGGCGCGAGCGCGTGCGACGGGGACTTGCGCCGCGACGGCTTGAAGCACGCGTTAAAAGGGCGATGGGGGGGCTCGCGGAGCAACCCGGGCGGCCCATGGCGACCGGCCCTTGCGTCGGAGAAGCCCTCGGCGCGAAATCTATTGGCCGGCGCGGGCGCGTCGAGTTCATTGGCGGAGGCGGGAAGAGGAGGTCAGAGGTCGATCGGGCCGACTCTTTGTCGGGCTATATTGGCGGCGTAGCTGGCCAGTTGACGGGCGACGACAGGCTGGGCCCCCCCCCATCGGGACTCGCTTCCCCGGCGCCAGCGAGGCCCACTGGGCTGAAACCGACGGAGGAGTTTCAATCGATGAGGTCTGGGGCGATCCACGTGGGCGCGGAAGTGGGCTTGCCGTATCCTGCGCCAGAGGGGATTCCAGCGCGTCGCGCCCGCGTCGCGTCGCGCGCCCCCTGGAAATCCAGCGCCGACTTCGCGCGCGCGGCGGCGCGGAGTTACTCGGGACTTGGGCGCCGGCCAGGCGCTCGAGGGCAGGGGGGCCAGCGAGAATGGAGGAAGCGGCGGGGGGGCAAATGCAGTGGAGTTGCGCGCGAATTCACCCATGGCGATACTCGGGGCACCCGGCCTCGCCAATGGGCGCGCGGAGAGCGCTGGCGCCTGGGGCGGTCGAGGGCCCCCGAGGCGCGCGAGGCTTGCGGAGGCGCTGGGGGGGGGGGGGGGGGGGCGCGGCTGGTTGTCTGAGGAGATGCGTTTCGTTCGTCGCTGACGTGGGAAGTTGCGTGCGTGCGACGACGCGCCCCCCGCTTGCGACCCTTCCCGGCCTCGCGTCGGCGGCTTGGCGGGGGGGGGGACTTTGACGGGCATTTAGGCAGCGCGAGGTCCACGAGAGAGCTAAAGGGGGGGGAACGCTGGGCGGCCGCGGGCAAAGCCCCCTCATCGGCGCGAGGCGGATAGACGTCGGCAGGGGGGGAGGGCCGACCCCCGGCGCCGGCCCCGGCCAGCGGCGCAGCAAGTTAAGATAAATTCCACGGACAATAACACACTTGCAGTCGCGCCTCTGCTGGAAGCCCAAAACGCTTTGTTCTCCGCGGCCGTTGCCGAGGGGGTGGGGCATAACCGCGGGGGGGCGTGAAAAAGGACTGCGGCCGGGATTTTCTGATGGCGGGCGGGCGCGCTCATGCGCCATGGCCAAGATGGGCCGCTCCGTCGGGTTGCTCGAAGATGATCGCGAGCCAAGCGCGCGTTTCAGATAATTAAAGCTGGGGCGCTGCCATCAACTGGGAAGACCGTTGCATTGCTTCCGCGTGCGACGTCGGCTTTGACGGCGGCGTAGCGCGACCGCGTGTTGGTTATATATACACATGTATACATACATACATTCACTCATTCATATATATATGTATATATATATATATATATATATATATATATAAAACAAAGCCCAGGTCGCGGCGAATCAGGTCAGAAGTGCGCGGATATGACTTCGCTTTATTGGGCGGCGATGTGGACCTTGGCTGGTTCGACGGAGAAGTTCGACATTTGAAATCAAAGCCCGAGGTGTACTGGGGCCGGGGCGGATGCTCTTGAAGTCGAACAGGGTTCTCGGCCGATCTGTGGAGTGGAGCCAGGATGGGCCGCGGCATGGGGCGGGTCCAAGACGCGCCGATATATTCGTCAGTGAATCAAGCCTGGAGCAACAGGGCCTGCAGTTTTCAGTTGAGGAGCTTGCGCGCTCTTAGTCGGTTCCGATTCGCTTGGCATGGAACAGCTTCGTAAAGCGGGGCAAGCACCGCAAGGGCCGCAACAGGTGTGGGCATCAGCGCATGCATCGGGTATGCCCCAACGATTTAACCGTGTTTGCCGACGCCGACAAGGCCACATGCACGGGAACACGTATAACAACAAATGGGAAAACAGTTTTGTGTATATCAGTTTTGATCAGGTCGCGGAGCTCAGCTCTGAGAGTTTTGGCGATATCTTCCGGATAACCAGAGTACCGCGGAACGGTGAAACGTGGGTCAGCAGCGCTAGGACCACGGGCAGTTTTGACATATTTCGATGATGATTGTGGTACCGTGTTAAAGAGTGGTGCTAGCGCGGTCATTGCCATTGCGAGGCGGCGAGGAGTTTGGGAACAATCTGACACATCGACGTTTGTCGTGTTTGGTTGCAGAAGAAGGTGCGACGAGGAGGCATCAAACTGATCGGAATAGGAACCGCAAGGGGATTTTGCTGACGCTCTAACCAACTATGTTAGAAGGAGCGGTCTGTCCAGGCACATGCCAGGCACAACTCAACAAATTGTTGACGCGAGGCGTGAGTTTGCGCCCGCTACTGAGTGTAAGCCTAATGTTTGTCTGGCTTCTCTTCGCACGCCGCTGTGGCGGGGAGTTGAAATCGTGGTCAGTTGATATCCATTTGATCGTCTGCGTGCAATTGTGTTAAATTCAAGTGTCCAGCGTGATTTGGTGCTGTTGCGAGTCTTGCAAAATAGTGCATGACGTGTTAGGAGGCCCCTGCGCGTTTGCACCCGACGTTCTATCTGCACCACTTGCGATTTTAATCAGTTTGCGCGTTTAGTTTCGCCGCAGGACGTTTTGTAACTTCTGCTTTTGCAGTCGCAAGTGTATACGTATATCTCTATTATATTGTTTTCTATTGGCACCACTTAGTTAGTTCCTAGCCAGTTCGCTTTATAGAAATTCTTCATCTGTCGCCTTATTCGGCCAACGTTGGCCGAGGGAGGCTGTGAGGACATGGGCGCGTGATTGGGTGAGGATGTTCGTTTGCCCGATGCGTGTCAGACGATTTTGCGTGTTTGTCTGATGCCATCAGTGTTTGGCCCAGGTACTCTCTTGCCTTTTCGAGAAACAGCTCCTGCCACATTTTCAGGAGGAGGGGGACGTGGAGGTAGAGGGAAAGGAGGGAGGAGGAGGCATGGAGGGCGAGGATGAGGATGAGTGGGGCTGGAGGAGGATGGGCCCCCAGACGCTGAACGTCACCGGCCAGTGGGTGTACGGGCACCGGCAGGGCGGCCTCCACTTCAACGCGCGCACCCGGAGGGGAGGGTGGGGAGGAAGTCCAACAGGGCGATGATGATGATGACGGCGATGATGATGATGATGATGACGATGATGATGATGATGATGATGATGATGATGATGATGATGATGATGATGATGATGATGATGATGATTCATGATGATGATGATGATGATGATGATGATGATGATGATGATGATGATGATGATGAGGATGAGGATGATGATGATGATGATGATGATGATGATGATGATGATGATGATATGGATGCTGATGATATGGATGATGATGATGATGGCAATAATGATGATGATGATGATGATGATCATGATGATGATGATGATGATGATGATGATGATCATGATGATGATGATGATGATGATGATGATGATGATGATGATGATGATGACGATTATGATGATGATGCTGATGATGCTGATGATGACGGGTAGGAGGAAGAGGATGACGGGATGGTGAAGAGGAGTTGGAGGAGGAGGGGGAGGTGGAAGAAGATTTGGACTACGAGTACGAAGGTGATCATAGGGAGGATAAGTACAATAATGAAGAGGAGGGGGAAAAGGAGGGAGGACGAGGAGTTCGGTGTGGAGGAGGAGATGGGCTCCATGATGTTGGTGAGGATGATGAAGGTAACGTGCAGTGATGATGACCATGTTGATGCTGATGGTGAAAATGATGATGGTGATGCTGATGATGATGGTGATTATGGTGATGGTCATGATGATGATGATGATGATGATGATGATGATGGTGATGGTGATGATGATGATGATGATGATGATGATGATGATGATGATGATGATGATGATGATGATGATGATGATGATGATGATGATGAACGCATAGCAGCATTTGGCAAGCGCTTGCAGAGCAGGGCACACCACCAGCGCACACGCAATTGCTGTCGAAACTTCATTACTACCAAACTGCCTCGGTCAGGACCGACCAGAACAGTCGGACTTTTGAAATTCGCCGCGGGACAAAGCAAGGCGACCCATTGAGTTCACTATTGTTCAACAGCGTTTCCGAGCACGTGATGCAGCGGGCGAAACAAGTTTGGACGTCAAAGAGCATTGCTTAGAGACCCACACCAACGACCGCCTCACGAATCTCCGCTTTGCTGATGACATTCTTCTTGTCGCTGGAACGAATGACCACGTCAAGAGCATGCTGGGGGTCCTAAGTGGGGAAGCAGAAGAAGCAGACAAGACGAAGATCCTGCGCAACGGACACAGACCATCCAGAGCAGAGCGACCGCCCACGCGCGATGATGTCCGTGGTATGAGTATAGAATTCTTACCGCCTTATCAGAGTATTCAATACTTGGGGAGAAGAGTGGACCTCGACGATTTTCATGCGACAGAGATAGAGAATATCATCGCCACGGCTTAGCGTAGATTTCGCACATTGAAGACTGACCTTACAAGCAACAACTACTCTCCCAACGGCCGGCGCAAACTGTTCCACGGAACGATCGCCCCGACGGTTCTGTATGTTTGCGAAGCTTGGACCATTACAAAACAATTGGAACAATGGTTGCGGAAGACTCAACGGCAGATGCTCTGGATGATCGTGCGCATGCCACGTCGCATGAGCAACGCAACCGCTCAGGAACAAAACGACCGCATAAACATAATAACAGGACCAATTTTGCGCAATTCCGCGAAAACGGCTGAGACTGATTCGCAACAAACATAGGCCAATGTTCGCACCAATTCGTCCGTGATGCCGCAGTTCCCCCAAGTGCGCAAACGGCCTGTATAGGGCGAGCAGTTGCTGCCGTAGGTTCCCTGCGTCATCGCCGCGCCAAAAATCAAGCACCAACCTATCCGCGATGGTGTTTTGAGGTGTGCGGAGCAGGGTTCTTGGTTTTTTTTGCGTCATTGGGTGTCCTGGTGTGACATAAAACTTTTGATTGATATACGCAGAGCATGTGGGATTTACATAACACTCCAACTCGCGTTGCCGCTCGAACCGTCCGAATGGAATTCAGAAAGTGAGAACTGTTCTGGGAAATCCGCCGGCGAGGACTTTCGGCTTTTCCGCTCGCCCGCTGGGTCTGTTTTCCGACGCCTGGCGGTCCCTGGAGATTGCCGCTTCGAAATCGCTGACGCCCTGGAAGCGGGCGTGTGTTCGAGTGGGGTGACGCGGGCACATTTGTCTGCACGCCCCGATCAAATAGGTTCGCGCGCCAGCCCGCGCGCAGAGGCGGGCACCCAATCGGAAATTGTGTGCCTATTATGTTTATGTCGGCTTTTCGTTCCCCAACCACGCCGATGCAACAACGCCCTTCTGACACAGACGCGCTGACTGGTGAGAGCGCCCGCAGGTACACGCACAGCCACGACGCCCAAACCAATACTAGCGACGATGACGACACCACAACGCCCTCCTCTGCGCCATGTGGCATTCCTCACGCAGAAGTGGAAGAGCCCTGGGCGGACTGGATCCGACGACCCACTCACGCCGCAGAAGAGAACCTAAAACGACTCAATATCGACGACTGGACAGCGTTAGCACGATGACAGATATGGAGGTGGGCGCGGCACCTTGCAACGACGGAAGCCGCCGAATGGGCGAAACTTGCTTCACAATGGACGCCGGAACAGGACGTGAGGTACAATGCAACCCGCCGAATAGGACAGCCCAAACAAAGATGGTTGCACGATTTGAGACAATATTTGTGCACGGCATGCAACGACGCAGTTACGGCAACAAGCTTATCGCGCTTCATTGTATCACCATCGTCCCCATCATCCGTCGCACCTTTAGAAATACTTGGTATTGCTTCGACGAATATGTGGGGAACTCTCGAAGGTGGCTTCGTGCGCCGACATTAACCCTGGCACGACTACCGATGCCCCGACTTCGGAAGCACGACTCCCGATCAGTTCGCTGACACGAATGACGATTCCCCGATTCTGGCGGCAGTTCAATGTCTCCCCGTCCCCGGCTCCGACTCCGGCCCCCTTCTTTCCGACTCTGGCTCTCCCATCTCATCCCTCCGACTCCGGCTCCGACTCCAGGTCCCATCTTTCCGACTCTGGCTCTCCCATCCTATGTCTCCGAGTCCGGCTACGACTCCGGATCCCATCTTTCCGACTCCGCCTCTCCCATCTCGTCCGTCCGTCTCCGGCTCCGACTCCAGGTCCCATCTTTCCGAGTTTGGCTCTCCCATTTCATCCCTCCGACTCTGGCTCCGACTCTGGCTGCCATTTGTCCGACTCTGCAATCTCATTTCTCCGGTTCCAGATTCGGCTCCGGCTCCAACTCCGGGTCCCAATTTTCCGCTTCCAGGTCAAATCCCATCTATCCGATTCAGGTCCCGATTCCTATCTCCATCTTTCCGACGGTGGTCCCGATTTTGCTCAAATGTATTCGACTGTGGCAGTACGTGTGAATCTTCTTCTCCGACTGCGGCTCCGTCAGCACTCCCATCTTTCCGACCCGGCTGCCATTTCCCGACCCCGGCTTTTGAGCGGCGCCCCGGCGCCCCCCCGCCGCACCCTCGTAGGTGCTTCGACGCGGGCTCTTGTCTCTTGTCTCTTGGCCTGGCACGCAACAGGCGAGATGCCGCCCCCCATCCCTGTCAAAAGCCAATGCAAAGTGATCAGGGGGCGTCCGCGCATGATTCAGATTGTGGGGTTTTGGCCTGCGCGCGGTTTGCTATATGCAAACACCCCCGCCGTCCCTGTCAAGGGGCGCCCGCGCATTGTCTATACGTGGATGTATTGTTCATGACGGGGTTGGTGGCGTTGCGCATTCTATGCCATGTGTTGGGTCCCCCGCGGCCCCTGTCAGAAGACAATGCAAAACGCTCGCGCCCCCCCGAACACGACTTAAGATTTTGCCGCAATCTGCGATGTGCATTGTTTTTTATGAGCGGGATGGCGGGGTTGGGGCCCGTGTGATCCTGGGTTTGTCTTTGGTCGGTTGGGGGACGGGGTGCAGGTTAAGTAGGACAAGTGTTCAATCTATCCCAAGCCGCAAGCCGTGCCGCTCATTCCCACCCGCCCTCCCAACACATAGGCAACATCCGAGCCTGGGGCCCCGATCCCAATAGTTCATGAATCAGGAACCCTTCGGAAGTGGTTTGCCGAACGTTCAGTGAGAAAGGTGACTCCCGAAACGCCATCACCAACACCAGCGCCAACATGATCGCGGGGGGGCCGCGCGTGAAACAGATGTCGCCACAACGTAGATTTTGCACTGTGTTTGCAGGGGCGGTGGGTCTGCGCAGAGCGGGCAGTGCGAGGATACCGCCGCCGTCCTCGTCAAACACCTGTGCGAAGTGCTCACGGGGCGCCCGCGCGCGTTTTTTCTGTTTTGCCGCGCGTTGTATTTTACATTATGTGTTGACAGGGGTGATGGACCTGCACAGGGCGGACAGCAGGGGGGTACCCCCGCCGTCCTGTCAACCACAGATACAAGGTGATCACGGGCCATATGCGCGCGGCCGATATGTTGACGCAGTTGTTTTGGCATTGTGTGTTAGGAAGGGGGTTTCGGTGCTGACCGCGGTGGGCCATCCAACCAACGCAGTCTGGTGTTTCCACAATCCCTTGCTCCGTGGGGGACGGCTCCGGCGCCCTCCCAACCCTGGAAGGCGCCGCCATTTTTTCCACCAGTCTGCGCACCAGTTCGGTTTTCTCTTGCCGCGCTTCCTCGGCGCGCCCGCCGCTCGGTCTCCTTCGCACTGTCCAACCCAGGCAGTGCGCAGCGGTGCCTTGCCTGCGTCGCCGCCCCAGCCACGGGCGCGCCATCTTCCCTGGTGGCGTGCCGCACTTGGCACCCCCTCTGGCCGGGCGCTGTCGCCCGCCCTCCCGTGGCTCCACTTCCTGCGGCTTGCCACCCCCTTGGCTCGCCGCTCCTCCCCGAGCGAACCGCGCGCTGGGCCTTCCCCGCGAATGATGCCGTTTGCACCCCTGGCGCCTTGCAGCGGTCACTTCCCTGTCGGCAGTGTGTGCTGCCCCGTTTGGGGCTCCCCGCTGTTGCGGCT